TTCGTTTTGCATCGGGCGCGAAACAAAATGTAGAGCGTTTGCTTTTGGTTTTGTTCCTGGGTCGAAATTTTTCTAGAGTTTTGTTTTGCGTGCCATCCTTCATTTTAAAGGCATAATTCTCTCACACGATTTATCCGTGAAAGAACAACTATAGAGATTATGGCCTGTATTCAAAGTCGGGCCTTATATCTAAGGCTTCCTTAAATTTATCTTCAGATGCTCTACGAATTATTTCATTGGCTACTGAGCATCTAAAGATAAATTTAAGGAAACCTTATGTTCAAGGTCTGACTATGAATACGGGCATATGTCTATATTCCATCGAAATATACATATATGATACAACTGACGCATTTTCCCATTTATTGTTACACGTTAAGCCACTTTCAGAAAGACCAGACCAACGCGCGAAAGCTGACGGAATTTATCATGAAACGATAGAGAATTTTTCACGTACCTCTGCTCTCGAAAGGTCAAGATCCGCGTCCACTCGCTGATAATTCTCCACAGCGCGCTCCGCTTCGCGGTAAGCCTTTTCGTAGGCCTTCCTAGCACGCTCCAGATTGCTCCAGATCTGACCGGTTAGGGTGGGGCCATTAGTCACCCGCCATTAATCTCGCGTCCTCCTGCAAATACTTCTTGCAATCCTCCTTGAAGTCATTAACCAGGATGATTAAGTTCCCGCAGGGACATTGGCCTGGAGATTTTCCATGGTTACCTCCCGCTAACCGATCTGATCGTTCAATTCGAGATATTCGAATTGAAGCTGGCCGGAATACGTCCATTTGAGCCGAGTGAACTTAGGAGAATGTGGCTACCCGGCTACTGCGCTCCAATGTCAAGCTAACTGGAGCTCAAGCAAACGACCAATCACAGAACGTTTCGAAGCATTTTGCAGGGGTGGGTTTAGATATTCCCCCAAATAACTCAGAAAATCGATACAGCGAAATATACAGTGTTGCCAGGTTTATTCAAGTTTTCCCTTATTGCGTTTTTCTCAATATCATCGAGAATTTGTGTCCATTAAAATTTAAGCTATTAAGGCCCGTATTCATAGTCAGGTCTTATATTTAAGGCTTCCTTAAATTTATCTTCAGATGCTCTACGAATTATTTTATTGACTACTGAGTATCTAAAGATAAATTTAAGGAAGCCTTAAGTATAAGGTCTGACTATGAATATGGGCATAAGGCTCAATTGCACCAATTGCACGTTACTTTAACTTTATTTCTTCTTTATCTCTCTCTCGGCTTCAAAAAAAGTTTAAGAGATTATTCTACTGTGACGGCCAAAAAAAATTGAGGTTTTTTTTTTAGGGCTGTGGTTCTCAGTGAATATATGTATGTATTGAAAGCAATCTTGAATATTTATAAAAGTACAAGTTAATAGTATAAAAAAAAATTATGAAGAATGTTAATCATTGTTTTTAAATGTTTGCTTTTATAACATTAATGTGGCATCTAGAAAGAAACGCATGTCGATTGCGGGATTGACATCTGAAACAAACAATTCAAAAAGATTATTAATTAGTATGAGTGTGTCGTTATGGCCCCTACCAAAATCAAGTCATATTTATTTTATTATATTTTTCACATAACAAAAGAGAACTGTTTTTTCCAATTTTTTTTCGAAACAGCGTTATTTTTTTAACAAAAATTATTAATTGTTGTAAGTGCGATAGCGACATTCGTACGAATTAATAATTTTTTTGAATTTTTTGTTTCAGATGTGTCCAAGCCGATAAATCAATCCTATAATATATGTATATAATAGGCCAATCTCTGGTATCTCGACGTAGCAAATCTCCATGGTAACGCAAGGTCTCGCCTGCAAACCCCAGCCAGACAATGCTCGGGATCTGGCAACCGTGGCTGTGATGCTGCCATATTCGCCATATTGGTATGTCCGGCCGGGGCTCGAAGGCTTGTGCGCTGGAGATTTGTTATTTCGATTGAATGCTGGTCATTTGCTACAAAAAAAAAGACGCGTACAGGATTTCATTCGTTCATTACGATCAATGTTGCACACTATTTTTTATTATTGAACCAACATAGTGCGAACACAATGGGTGTATTCAGTACTACGACCGCTCACTGAGCGCTCAGTGAGCGATTGTAGTACTGAATGCACCCAATCACAGACATTTTCTTAGGCCGAAATCAGACTACACATTGAAGATTGAGATTGAAGATTGAAAAATTCAAATTTGACCAATGAGGACAAAGGGATTTTAGCTTCTATTGTTTTGATTGGTCAAATTTCAATCTTTCAATCTTCAATCTCAATGCATAATCTGATCCTGGCTTTATATTATGACAACACAAAGAGTGCAAACATAATCACAGCCTTTTTTATTATTATTAAAACAAATATATTCTTTTACTAAATTTCTTTCTGCATAACTTACTAAAAATCGGAGATTTGTCCCCAAAACTGTAGTCTCCGGTTGAAAACTGGAGACTTGGCAATCGATCGCATCCAATTATGATAGCGAGATTCTAATCCAGCTAGCACTTTTCATATACATGTATACATATACCTATCCTGCTATACTATAACTCTTTATCTTTTGTAAAATAAACGATTCGAAAATTATCAAGCCAATTTTGTATAGCCATCTAAAATGGGTATATACCCGTTCCAAATGAGATTCCCATCATGAGATTTCCACCAGGGCTCTGACTCGTTAATACCGCTGATCATCCGTGATCGCTATTTAATCCGAATCCTTTAAACATAAAAATATTTTGAACAAAACGTATTACCTTCAGTTTTAATTGCGCTAATTAATGCAACTAAGGCCCAACTGATTCCTCTTTTTTAATTTTTATAGACTAAATTAACTTTACGTACTAGGTGATAGAATGAATTTACTTACCGAACTGTTGATGCATTATTAGCTTTAAGTTGCACGCAATCTCAGCTTTATTTCGATTACTCGTTCATGTGATCAATAAACATTGTTCATTACAGTAATATAAATATATCGGAAAGTACTGCATGATACAATGATCGTTCAATACTTTGATACTCGCGATGTTTATTCGCACGTGTAATTTATTAGTTCAGGTGATTAAAAAACACAAGACAGTATAATTTCGGTCGGAAATAGTCGCAACGCGACACAAAATAAGGATGACGGTGGTGCATGCTTCAATCTGTTAATTTTATAGAATTGTGAGTTCAATGAATAAAATTTTTAAAACAAAATAAATCTCTTATCTCTCTGTACTTAATGCTAAAATATCTAAAGTATGTGTTTTGCATTGTGTAATAATTACTCGAATGCATATTAAATAAGTTATATCTATTAAATAAAGTATTAATTCACGTTTTAATACTTATTGTTAAATAGTACTATGATTATTATGAACAGTTCAAGGTATTCGTATAAATATGAATATTATATTCAAGATTTAATAACTATTATTATTATACACGATATTTATATATTTTTTATTTTTATGTAACAACAAAATAGTAGAAATTATGACATTAAAAAATCGTTATACAAGAAGTATAAAGTTTAACTTTTGAACTGAAACTAATCGAACATATTTTTCAAAATACATTTTTTATAACAGATAAAATTAAATATTAAAAATACAAGGAAGAATTCTGGATATAAAAAGGTGCAAATATATGTATTAGGCACGTTTTAACGTATTCGAAACAGTTATATTGGTTTAGTACCTGTATTTTTTCAATATTAATAATAATAAAAATAATAATAAAGTACAATAAAACGCATAATTAATTATCTACAATACTTGTTCGCGCGTATAGAGAATCACAAAATATACATAAAACAGACACAATGAAACGTCGGAGCGTACATACGGCCCCGTTACTTCATTTTGACATAATCGCCGAGCAATTCCCTTGTTTTCGCCGTTAACAAACCGGAAGCAATCAAGAGCGGGGGGGCAGGATGCGCGTGTGCGTATGTATGCATTGAGTGAACTGATCATATTTATTTGTGTACTTGCGTACGACTATATGTGAAGCTACGTCTTTTTTTCCTGATCGAATATATAATATCTATATATATATCTATACATATATAATATATACATATACATTCAATACACGAGGAAGTTACACGATTCCCGGATTCTGCTCGGAAAAGAACGATGAACACACCAGGTTCTCGTGATCGAGAGGACTTCCTTCCAAGACATGTGGATCAAGGATCGGATCTTTCAGACAAATACTTCTCTGTACTGCTTTAACAATATTCATCGAAATTCTCGCTATCGCAAAATATTGCACGAAATAACAATAGTGGCAAGCCTACGACGCTATATCTTCTACAGTTACAACTTACCGCCTATGATTATCGCGGACACTATTTTTCGACCATTTAAATATACCGATGTGTATCAACACAGCACAGTTTACCGCAATACCCGGATATTTAAGGACTAAGCTCTTGTCCGTAATAGAAGCGAATCCTTTTCATCTTAATATCGATTCTGGCACTCTCATACTGGATAGCCTCGCTCTCGCTTCCCTGGCAATATTTACATAAATCTATTATAACTAGTCACATTCAGGCAATTCCTTAAACGCGGTACGCCGACTGGTCCATCGGAACAACCTGTTTTTCATCACAAACTGAAGTTACACGTAATCGGATTTCAGGATCCTTCGTATCTACAGACATCTCCTTTTGCTTAATCTCGATTACACGCGATTTAAATAAAACAATCTTAAGTCTGTAGAATGTTAAAGAGCCACAAGAGTTTTAAGATTTTAAAAACTCTTGTATTGCAAAAAAATTTCAATTTCGTAAATCTCGGCACATCTGATATATATTCATCCAATTTTATAAAGCCTTTTCGCTTTGGAAAATTAAAAATTAGACTTTGCACACAAATTTCAGATGCTACAAATATAGTATACGGTTCCTTGGAACCGAAGAAGCATAACTTTAGGAAAATCTCGATTTCATAAAATTGAATATATTTGAATATTCAAAATTATAAAATCTTAATTATATGCATATAAATCCTTTGCCGAATTTTATCCTGTATTATGTACATTTTGTGTTTTCATAATTTCTGTAACTCTTGTCTCGATGCCAATGTATTTCAGAATCTTGTCGAGATTTTTGCAATCTCGATTACGAGTAAACGTCAAGATTTTGTTCGACTCGCGCGAGTACGACGAAACTCTAGTAGCGATCAGTCTCGTGTTCTCTTAGCGTGATAGTAAGCCGTGTCCGTGTAACAGTCGGCCGCCTTTTACGACGTCGAGTCAAGTATACAAAAGAACGATAAAACTTCGGTGCGGCGACGATTACAACAGTTATGATTAATTTGCAAGTGACGAGTAGGCGGAGCGCAATTATTATTACTAAGATAGTTACTTCTTTTTTTCTCAACGAGGTCGTTAAATGTTTCTTTCGTGCACATCCACACGGAAAAAGCATACGTCTCGAAAAGTCACGTGAGTGCATTAAGGACCATTTCACTATCGACTCTTCACGAAAAGACGTCGCACTTTAATCCTTAAGCAGCTACATTAGTGTAATTCTGCAGCGAGCTTAAGAACTTATATATAAATTTTTATAGAGACAGAAAATTCGTCTGAAGATTTTTAATCAGAATATTGCACTATTTTCGTCAACCATTGTGTCAATAGCTGACTAAAATCTGGCATTTCCCAATTACGAGTTTAAATAATTATTTTTTCAACAATTATCCAATAAAATTTTTCTGTTTCGATTCTTGCTCCTGCTAAAAAATTAAAAGTGACAAATGCGTATAATCGAGTATGTATATGATCAGACCATAACGCCATCATACAGATGCCTAAATTCAAGTAATTCAACCCTTACTTCTGGATTCATGAGTTTCCTGCCGTAGATAGACTTAGGGGCCACAGTGACCCTTCGTATAAGACTAATTTAAAATAATAAAAAAGAGAATTATTTATTTACACAATAAAACAGTGTACAGTTTGCAAGGTACAGTATTTTTAAATAAAAACTTTGGAGATTAATAATGTAATAATTATTGTTATCAATAGTAATTTCGACGAGAATTAAACGCAAAAGGATGCAGGTCCCGATATGGTCTTCGGCATGTAGAATTTCTTCTCGCGGTAACAATAGAGCCGTGGTTAAAAATTTATCATTAATAATTATCAACAGCCATTAATATCAACTTATAATTTCAAAATATAATAATACGAGTAAGACTGTACGACCGCCGCGAGCCTTCATAAAAAAAAAATGGTATGACTTTTTAGATCACGAAAATAATTATTTAAATGTAAATGTAAATAATACATTCGCTATTAATAATACGCTATTAAAATCTGTTAAATACCTTTTTAACAGATAATTACAAGACTAATTATTACATAACAAAGTATTAAATAAATCCGAATAAGGGCAAAATATATCTCTTAGGGATCTATAATAAGCCCAAAAATGAGCTCAATCTTATTCCTATTACGCTTATATTACTGATTGATCACAAAGCTGGGGCATTTGTTCGTATTGTATCGTTCCTTTGTTTCTTCCTGATCGATCGATCGATCAATCGAACAGAAATCCTTGAGATGTGTTTGGAGGTGTGATCACGATTTCGTTGAATATGAGAGTATTAGCACGCGATAATTCGATTCCGCGGATGCTTCTACTTCTATAGATTATGATTGCGGATCATTAGATTGATGAAAGATTTTTTTTTTCCTGAATAAGGAGTCCTATCTATTCTATATGAATAAGGAATTCTATCTTTTATCTTTCATCAATCTTATAAATTTTAAGAGAAATTTTGTAATATACTTTATTTGTGAATATTCACAATCCTGTCCACGTCCACAAGTTCCTGATTGCATCTCCAAATTTAAGAATATTTCGACTTTCCATCGTTCGAGAGTATTGATTAGGCCTGCGATCCGCTCTTGTCATCCCGATATCCTGTGTCAATTCGTCCAACACATGACCCTCAAGTTTTCGACGGCACCAAATTTTCTTTGTTTATAATCTCCTTTGAATGATTTCGCATCACGAAGATTCTCTTTAACAACCTAGGAGAAGCGGCTAAGTGTTGTAGAGATGACACTCTATGTACGAGGTCGGCACAAAACCTTCGATCGGTTGCGAAATGCGTCTCACTCTAGTCCAACCGTCTCCCTGGTCCAGCTCGATCATATATAGCTCTTCGCCATCGTACATCGGTATGGAACCTTCGCTAGTTGCTGCAAATAAAATAATAACAAAATTAAACATTACAATAACAAAAATATAAAATAAATAATCATAGTTCTTTCTCTCTGTTAGACTTTAAACTTACATTCGTGTCTTCATCTCTAAAATTGAGAATATAGAAAAATAAATCACGTTGTCCGAGTATAAATTGGAAGGGACTTACCATCGAAAGGATAAAGCGCCCGGCATGTTCCCAGTGGCGGCTGAGCGTCCACTTCGTCATGATAATAATCCTCGCAGCCGCTGCCGGGTAGCGACGTTCTCGACTCACCAAGGCCAGATTCCGGGCTGTTCGTGGAACTGTGCATCAGTACCATAAAGCGAAAACCGTGGCTATTTGTCTAGTGTAAAGTGTCTAATCTACTCAACATCGTAAACCAAACGCTTTCGCGGACACATAACTAAATCGTAATCTAATCTGAACCTATAAGCGATTATGAACATAGCAAAATTTCATTCGCCTCAGACTAATTTGTTGAACCGAGTAAAATGACAATGACTCATGTAGTAGTGTACTTCAAATTATCTCTATTACTTATGTCTTTTAGTTCTGATAAGAACGGTTGCATAAAAGTCGAAAGCATTGCAATATTTCTAAGTATGAATTTATGGATGTTATCAAATAAAGAGAATCTATACAATAATTGCAATATAATAATAGAATACAAAAATACAATATTAATGATGGTAAACAACGGTAAAATATTCAATAATGATAAAACGCGGTACAAATAATAACAAATTTATGACAGCAAGATGTACGGATTTTAAAAGTTCCGAAATTTTCGGAGTATGATGTGATCTGTGCGTTACCCTATTATTTTGGTATTACCAAGAATAATTGGTATTACCAAGATGACTTACCCATGAATTGGCTGTGGTGTGCTCGGTGCGCTCTTCTTGTGAACCGGTTGATTCGCGTTCGCATTACAGACGCTCGAATCTGAAGCGGATCTCGAAAGGCTCTCCTCGCCACCCGAATGACTACCTCTTCGTGAACTTAGTGGCCTCGTTGCCGAACCGTTAGTAGTAGGTTTTCGCTGTGCTTGACTTGGGCTGAAACCACATCAAGTTACTTCTTCATTTCTTTGATGAATTAAATACATTATGCAGAAAAACTAATCTATTCAACTATGTAGACAATTCTATAGAAAATTATATTTTAACTTATTATTTTAAGCACAATAAAGTTGTATAAAAGCACGTATTATATTATTTATAACTGTGTTACTCTATATAAATATCGTTTATGTTTCACGTTTCACAGTTACATTATGAGCATTGCCTGCTTTTAGAGCGGTTGTTCTGTATAACTAACAAATATCAATAACTTCCTTGCACAATTCTAACAAAGCTGCACTTACCTAGACAAACTGGCACCAGCACGCATCGCTTCTTCGAGGAATCCTTGAAACTTTGCCAATTCAACTCCGAGCTTGTCCAGTTTGTTACTGGACTGGTTTAGTTGGCCCTCTATACTCATCGGATCTCCGAGAGCGGGATTCTGTTCGTACACGCCTTTCATCTTCATTAAACCATCTCTCGCTGCAGTCTCCTGTTGGATTTTCGCCTGGATCTCGTCCAGTCGCTGCTGCAATCGTTTCTTCCGCTGATTCGGTGGCAAATCGCTGCAGTCCTCCTTGGCACCGTCACCGTAGCCAGGCACATTGTTCTAGAATTTGTTACAATAAATATCGATCCTTGAGAAATTATCTGTGCATATTCCTGAGACCCAGAAACTTTATTTGCAATGGACTTAACGATATTATCAAAAATCAAATAATTAATACCAATGTATAAAAAATTATAAATTATGTAAACAAGAATGATTTAAGAAAATTTTATGATTGAAAAACACGAGTATCTTTCTCTCTCCCCTCCTTCCTTTTCACTTAGTATATTACAGTCTAGGTCTCAGGAAAATAACAGAAAGAAAGATGAGAAAGTTTGGGAACACATTTTGTTGCAGGAGGAATTCGTTCTGTTAATGATCTGCGAATGGTTAGTGAAAACTAGCATAAATTGATATTGATGGACAACTTCAATATTCAATATCGCTCATTGTTCTAAACGATAATGGATAATATCAATAAAATGTATTCTTTGCAGTATATAATAAAAAAAAATCATAACAAATTATTTTAGAAATACGAATAATTTAACCCGTTTGGTGCTAGAAGGTGGAAAATATGGTGTGTTAGAAGAATTAAAATTTAATTTCTTTAATTTCAGAAATTAGATTTTAAGAAATTCGCGAACTGATATTAAATATCAAGATTTTACAGTTTTTTTTTGCATTTTGTAGACCCGCAAAAGCTTTTGTTTTCGCAAAAATTAGATTTGTTTAATTGATTCATACGATTCATATATTTCGCAGATATAAGAACTCCCTTAATTTAATTTTAAATAATCGAAATGATCGAATTAATTATCAAGACAATTTTGTTTTCAAAGAAACGATTGTCTGTCCCATCTATTTACTACTGTATGTAAAGAAGACTAGCAAGTTTCGAGCACTTGTAAGCATTCAGCTAAGCACCAAAAGGGTCAATCGGATTACTTGGCGATTATATAAAGGACAGACCTTTAAAGCTATGCACACCTCGATCAACTTCTGTCGTTAGCATGAAACAAATTCGAAAAGCGTATCATTCAGCGAATGAACAGGCTAGACTTCCAGCAATAGCATAAGCGAGAACTCAGATTATTTCGGAAATTATTAATCCTAAATAATATAAGATATTTATAATGTATGTATGTCATAATACAACAAAAAGTTGATTCACTTTGTACATAATAATTTCACATTAATTAAGTTCAAGTTTTACAACGTTATTCAACAATGCAAAGATATTTTACAATACATTAATTTCAATACAATTTCATATATATAAAATTTAATTTTTTAACTTTACAAATACTATTCCATAAATCTCTTACAAGAGTTATAAATTTTTTAAAATATAATTATCTCAATTCTCAAAATGGTAAATTATTTTCACATTAAACTTCAGTTTAATTCTATAGTATTTCTTGTTGTATTTTACGAGAAGTTAATTAATAATAGTTTGGTTACAAAATATAAAATTTTAATTAAATTTCATTATATATTCATTATACATTCAGTAAATATAATTGATCAATCTTATTCTGATTAAGATTAATATATCCGTTGGGTTCACGCTCTTCTAATAAGATATTTTAATATGTATTTTATTTTTATGAAGCAGATAAATAGTTATTATATACATTATACATAATTGCGAGCGGAAAAGCGAGCTACGAAGTACTTACTAAGTGTGATAACATCCCAATTCATAGCCCGTGATGATTGGAAACAAGAGACCACAGAGGCAGATTGAACCATCCACCAAATTAATAGAAAGTACAGAAGAAAAATAAGTTATGTTTTTCGTTATGCGAGATCAAACGAAAGAGTGAATTAAAGTCCGAACGCATAAAAATAAGATACACTATTGAACTGTATTGTAATTTTTATCAGAGTTTATCAAACATAATTATTATTCTTTTTACACTTTAAGAGTGGAGTGTATAAAAGCATTCGAAAAATTAATCTCGAAAATTTATCTAACATAAAAATTTTTAATAAAAATTAAATATTTATAATACATATTATACCGTCATAATATAAAAATGTTAAATAAGTGTGCTACTATTTAAGTAAATTAACAAAATCTTACATTTTAGCAGGGAACGAACACAAAACATTTTTACTACTTTATAATTAACCTTAATTATGATTAAAATTTTGAATCTTCAAATTGAATTTATCAGTCCATATTATATAAGTTCATATTATCATATATAAATAGAGTTTGCTGTATCGCAAAAGCGATTATGAATTATAAAAGGTCGAAATCACTTCAAATAATAATAATTTGAAGATACAAAAAGCGCTTCGAATAATCATAAATAACAGTGTATAAAACATAATTGAGAAGTCGCTCATAAATAACGTTATTGTAGATCAGAAGAATAGGGAATCTATTAATGTACATGCGCAATAGATATTTGTGTGCACATAATAAGAGCAGGCCTATATGTTGGCGAATAAGGAGATGCAAAATATACATACATAAATGATAAAAGAATAAAATAATACTTCACAAAGAATTGTCATGCATGTTATAAAAATAATCTGCAATCTTTTGTAATTATCTTTTCCTTCTCACAACTTCGCAAAAGGTAATAAATAAATAATACAGTAAGTTACGTTAGCTCTTCTTTGGGTCATTCGAGTCTTCGGCTTATAACATTGCGAATTAAAAACAATCAGGAATCATTTTTTCAACGGACTAAAAAATTTTGCAACTATGTAATTGTGATATACGCAAAAGGATTGTTGCAAAATTTTATGAAATCGCCCAAACTCGACGACTTCACGAGAAATATAATGCATAATATAGGGTGTCTGAAAAGATACTATTGTAATAAAAATTTATAAAATTAAAATAATCAAAGAGTAATAATGAATAATCGTATAAAGCTTATCTTATATTAAATTAAAAATGTCAAACAAAGAATTAAAAAAAATCCGCGAAAAAAATACTAAATTCTCAATTATTTTTCAATACTTATCAGCAGGTTTCATTAAATTCAAGGACTTCCACTTATCTTTTCAATACATCCTATGCATTGAGAACGTGCACCAATGATCTCAAAAGAATCGCAATAATCTTTCAGAGCAATGGACGAGTATCTACCTTATTACTGCCGAAGATCCCGAAGAGGCCGACCCTCTTCTTGATCTTGCCACCGGAGACGGTACCCTTAACCGTGAGGTGATTATGGATTGGCTGCATGACGGGCTGAGCCAATTGACTGTTGCTCTCATAGTTCTTAGCAACCGATAAATCTTCAAAGGGAAAATCTCCGGGTGGCTGGAAACCGCTCTACAACATTGTGTCCTCCTTTTCGTTAATCTCGTTCGCCGCCTTCTCAATGCCGTCTAGGCATTGGGCAATTATCGGTGCCACTGCTCGCTCAATCTCTACAGATTTCATCATATAATTCCGCATGTTTTTTATCCTCTTCTCGTCCAACTCCTGCGGCAAAAGCATGACATATAAGAGAGAATTACCCATGAGAAAAGGATTAATAAGTAAAAGATTAATAAGATAATTGGAACATTAAATTGAGAGACAACATTGCAATAATTTCCAATTAGGAAGTTAATAATATTAATTTATTAAATTGATATTGGTAAATTTGTAATTAAGGGCACAGACAAATTAACGTTATTTTGAGTAAAATTAATTCAAATTTAATTAAAATTTAACTTTGTATTTGATTAGCGTATATATAATTTAATCCACGATTGTTTAAACATGTCAAATATGTCGACAAATATCATTATTTCATATTTTTTTATTACATTAAACATATACATCCATGCACAGTTCTTTGAACCCTTGTACAATGACAAAAGGCAGAATATTTTTCATAAGAATAATATTACAAACAAATATAATAAAACGTGGACGCAACCACGCACAGTTATGATAAAGTAGTACCTGAAGATGTTGAAACACTTCCGGCATCGCTGTGTGGTAGTGCAACGTCTGCATGTCATTCGTTTTTTGTAGCTGATTCGCGTACTCCGTTTTGGCTTCCTCGCTCTGCTGGGTCTTCATAGTCATATTCATCCTCTGTTTCTCGACCTGCTCGTTGCAGAAAAAAAATTGGTCATCATAGAGCGTCAATATATACAATTTTCATCAATCGTTCATAATTTAAAGGCATAATTTTTTCACGCGTTCTATCTATCCATGGAAAAACTTGAGATTCTGTCTATATACCGTCGAAATGATACTACTGATTCTTCTTTCCACTTATTGTATACATGTTAAGCCACTTTCAAAAAGACCAAGGTATCGATCATGTAACTTTTTCCTTAGGAAACGTGAAAAGTGAAAATTTTTTGTATGTATGTGTGTATATGTTCATATGTACATACATAAAAATTTTCACTTTTCACGTTTCCGTTCTAAAAAATTACATGATCGGTACCCAGCACACAAGAGCTGGCGGGATTTATTACAAAATGATAGGAAATTTTTTATCACGCACCTCTGCTCTCGAAAGATTAAGATCCGCGTCCGCTCGCTGGTAGTTCTCCACAGCGCGCTCCGCTTCGCGGAAAGCCTTCTCGTAGGCCTTCCTGGCACGCTCCAGATTGCCGATCTGACCGGCTAGGGTGGCCATTAATTGCGCGCCCTCCTGCAGATGCTTCTTGCGATCCTCCTTGAAGTCCTTAACCAGGATGTTAAGTTCCCGCAGGACGTTGGCCTGGAGGTTTTCCGCGATTACCTCCCGCTGACCGGCCTGATCGTTCACTTCGTTCAATTCCATTTTAAACGCCCGACAAGGACTATACCTGAAAGAACACAAGCGCGTTCTTCTCTCTTTGTTCTACATTTATTTTATCCCTTATCTATTTTCTTTTTTCGTAGATGTTTATTTTCGTTTGATTAAAATTCGCAATTCTTTCTTTTTATACTACTTTCTTAATATTTTTAAGACGTCTGCTTTCTCTCTTCTACTTTACTTTACTTTACTTTCTCTCCTCTTCGACTTTTTGTCTAATACTTTAGTTTGCTATTTTTTAATTAGTAAATTTTAATGTCTCTTGTCAAGAAACATTAATGATTTTAAACAATTTGCATTTCATATAAGTTAACTCTCTTGTCCCTTAATTATAAATATAAAATGCATGAATAACGTCAGCTAATTTAACTAGTTGTTTTTTAAATAGTTTAATATAAATTTAAAATAATAATTGTTGCATATACAACAAGAATAATTTCGGATCTACACAACGCTGACGCAAGCTGATTTCGTAGAACGAGAAGAGCCTAAATCTCGGCCCACGCCGATTAAGCATAACACCGAGCATGACATATTCTTTATACTGCTTAATAACGAAATAACTGTGAGTGCTATAGGATCTCTGTTGCGGAGTTATTGAACTTATAAGCATCTCGCCTATGCTGCAGAGTATAATTTCTGCATCAAATTAGAGTCTTATTAAAAAAATCGTTTTTAGTTTTTATATAATTTATTTTGATAACAGGCCTACAAAAAAAAAATCCTGTGCTGGGGTGGAGACCCAGCTATTCTTATGTATTTTGAGTCGCTGAATACGAATCTGACATAAAAATAGGACCATCAAGGGCAAATTTTCAATCTAGAGCAAAAAAATGGGTCAAAAACCTCGAAATCTCCTTTTATTAATAATATAAAAACAGATTTCGAGGTTTTTGACCCAGGTAGGCCTGTGTTATCAAAATACCCACCCCAGTACAAGATATTTTTTTTTGTGGGCCTGTGTAATTTATAAAATTCTGATTCTTTCCTAAGTTTTAGAGTCTCTGATAGAAAAGAGATCGCATTTAAGCGCAAAAAATAAAAATCTAAAACTATAAGATGTTAATATCACGTTTCTATTGAACAAAAATTGATGATAACTTTCTAATTTCGATCAGGATTGGATTCTAGGTCTCAAGATAAACAGGTTGCTCCTGTTTCTATTTCATTAGAGTTTACAAAACGTATTTACATTGACGTTTACTTGGTTTGCAAGTGACGAAATGAAAAAATTTTGCGCGAGAGTGAAAAGCAGGAGTGAAAAGTTGGAGAATATCTGTTGAGATAAAATTCGCTTTACTTTTACCTTGATTCTGCTTTAACTGCCATTTATTTTAACTCTGACCTAACCACGCTCTTATGCGCGCTTAATTACTCGCGCAGTACACATTCTGTGCGTCGAGTCAGAAAATTAATTATAGCTCCACAGAACTCGGTACCTATGAAATTAAAGATCAGTAGAGGTTCTCGAAGGAAATAATCTCGCCGTACATTTTTTTGCCTTAATAAATCTTGGTTATATTCAAGAATGCGATGAATTCCAACGCGTTGTATGTGTGTGCATATAATTGCAGAATATATTTTTATATCGTAAGAGATAAAATTGAAAAATAAGTATCCATGCTAATTTATACAACTTTTGTTTTGAAAATAATCACCTCAGAAAATTACTATTTCATTCGTCAAATGGTACAATTATCTACTTCCCTCGATTAACTAGTGATATAATTCATTTCGACCACAGACAATTTAAACATATGTTTGTTACTTTTTCCGATAGATTCAATAATCTGTATGAGATCGTCAGTAATTCGAGGAGAGAGAGAGAGAGAGAGAGAGAGAGAGAGAGAGAGAGAGAGAGAGAGTACGTGAACATATATACTATATATATATAACTTTTATACTTACTGATAATCCTCCTCCTTCTTCTTCGGTTGATAACTCTTCACGAGACGCCTGTAACAGAGAAGAGAGAAATAAGATTATTGATGCACGTTTCTCACGAAGGTGAAATGACATCGCCGGTAAATGTTAGGCGAATAGCAGGAACTATCAGATTACCCGGAAGTAAACTAATCGGAGAAATGATCTCTGTATTACCTCCGAGTTTATCGTTTGCGATTATTCATTCAAATAATTGAGAATAATTTTTAGTATAATTTTGAGTAATAATTTCAGTTATTAATTTTGGTAATAATTTTTAATAATTGACGAATTATGCCTAGTGCAGACTGAACGCACTAAGTGTTAAGCAGCGGAGCAGCGACCAACTAGCAAGGCGATATTGTTTATGCCACTGTAAATATCGTCTCACTGATTGGTTGCTGCTCCGCTGCTTGACGTTTGCTGCGTCCAGTCTGAATTAGGCATTAATCTATTTTACAAATTTTACTGAAAATTATGTTTTTATTGTACAGAGTAATTTAATAAATATAAAGAGATAGCACAATTAAATCAACATATTTTTAAAGTCATATATGCGAATATATAGTATTCTAAGGAATATATCGTAACTCCATTCATCAAACAACAATAATAACTTCTTTAATTCGTGATATTCGCGCTACGATTAGATTTGAAAAATTTTCGCTATTATGCTACATTTTTCATAATTTTATTCCATATAATGCATGTTATTCTATGAATGCATTAAGCCTATTAAATGACTTCATATCTGTATTAGAAATTCTATGTTTTTCTTAATCCTATATTCTAAATAATCTTTCTACAAATCGCATCAGTTTTTGAGAGTACATCACACATATGTGGAATAGTAAACAGTTACTATAATGCAATTATAATAATGTTTCAATAGCGATACAACAATATGCTCAAAGAATTGCCACATCTCGCAATTTCCACACGCTCGCTTCCTGTCACGGAAAAAGCCGTTGGTTGGGAATTCGGTCTTCAAGTTGTATTAAAAAAACACTTCCATTGTATAGAATACATATATTTGTTAACAAGTTTCTTTTCTTTTCACAAAATGCTTAATATTTATCAAATAATATTGATTCAAAAATGCAATCCACTAACTTGTGATTCAAACGTTCCGGAATCACCCGAGTTTACCCGAACTCGCGCGTGATGCCACGAGGTTGTTGCCGAAAGCTCATCGTATTCTTTCCTTATACTCACTTTATTTTTAACAATGTAATTAATAAAACAAATGAGTAAACCGAAAGGTTATCGGTAATGGTTTGTGCCTATGTGCAAAAACACAATAAAAAGTGCTCGCATAAAGCATTTGCGACAGTGCCACATAACAAAAGCCAGCGTAAGTTATAGTTCCGTCAAACTCGACGACCTGATGAACCGCAACACACTCAAATTATTTTTGTTAGGATCATTTTGACATAAGTAATAAAAACATTTAACTATATACAGGGTGGCCCACGTAAAGTGTTACAAACTAATAACTCTAAAAATACTTGTCCTATCAAAAAGTTGTTACATTGCAGCCTTTGTATTCCTGACCTGTATAGCAGCCTTAAAATTATGACTCTATAAACACATCAATTTTCGGTAGATTTGTTGAGTCAGCTTTCACAAAACCTGGTTCTAAAATATTTGTCATCTTTATACACTTTCTTCGAAAATTTCGTTAAAAGAAACTACGGAACTATCAATGCAGTGTAATAGCAGACAAATCGCGCGAAAACGAAACAATCCTGTGACGTCATACAAACGAATCGCCAATAGCGAGGAGGTATTCACCTACGAAATCAACGAGGAATTCAGTAAATGAGACAGTCAAGCATTCGTCATTGAAATCAAGAAATCATTTGAAATCGAACAAAAAAACATACGTCATACGCTCGGTCGCGCGTCTCGAACTTTCTGTCGGAAAACAAATCAAATCACTTTGCAATCACGTTGAAATAACCATGAATACAAGAAATCGGAAATCACTTTCGATTGAGGTGAGAGTATCTCCTCGACCAATAGTGTAGCGTTTTCTTCCGTTTGAATTTCCACGAAATTTTAAACTTGATTAATAAATAAATATAAATGAATTAAACAATTTTATTATTACGGATGCAGTTCATAACGCTTATATTTGGATAAATCAATCGAATTCAGCCATTTCGAAATTTACTTGAAGAACCGAATTTACTGCAATGTACGTGGTCATTTCGTCGAGGTGCATCAAGGGGTCAAATCGCGTATTTGTGCCGCCGCGGTGTAATCGAAGAAATATCAGATCGCGGAATTATTTTTGATCGCGGCGCAGATTAAAACGAATCTGGGCGTGTCGTTTTAATTTTTATGGCGCGCCACGTCCATCTATAAATACACTATCACATTAAATCTCACACGGTCTTGATATAGCAAAGTAACACGAAGAGGAAAAAGAAAATGAACGAAAAAGGAGAAGGAAATAGCGGAAGTTTATACCTAGATAATTCTCCTGCACAATAAAATATTTTAAGACTTTTCAAGTATCATCAGATACACGCTCGATCCCTTTTTGAGCAATTTGCCGAATTCCCAGATGCTGTTGTACTACGTTGGACATCCGGGTGAGCCTCCAGTTACTCGACGATCGCGTAATTTTTCGGATATTGTATGGAGTCGTGGCAATTTTCCCAGAATCGTCCCAGAATACGCGTACACTGACCGCCACGCTTTTATACGAAAGTGAATCGAGGGTCTAGCTAGACGCTGGAAATTGCAGCGCATTAAGACGAAGGACGCGTGAGTGCGATGATTTGTATGCAGCGGCAAGAGCGAACGTGCGCAGCGAAGCGCGTGAAATCACTGCTCGCAGTAGCACGTCTACCTCTAATTAATTCCTTCATTTCGTCAAAATCGATTTAGACGGTAAGAATAGTTTGTACATTTTTTCATTAATTTTCTCGTCAGACATGTCAATTTAATTGCGAATTCATATAATTTACGATTTGTATAACAATTCAATTGTATCACACAGTATAATGTATACATTAAGCTTTCATAAGGACATTAATCATGATAATTGTAATTATACAATTACCATGATTAATTTTCTTATGAAAGTTCACGCCTCAAGTTACGTGGCATAACAATTTCAAATATTTTTAATTACGACAGAGCGTATAATTGTGAGTTCGGTATAAGGTGTATTTAAAAATGAAGAACAATAAACATTTGCGCCCCATTGTATCTCTAAAATTTCACTCCGACTATATATTTTCATTGATTATGTCAAACGATAGACTGTACAATTAATTACTATTAATGTTGCATACAGCGCTCGACATTTCAGAATATGCGACGAAGTAATTAAGCGCAATGCAAAACGGAGTAATTAAGCGACCGGAGTGAATGGATTTCGAAACACCCGATAGAACAAAAGTACGCCACAGTGGACGGCATTCACGGAACGGACAAGGGATTCCTTTAACATAATATTAGTCGCTACAGATCTCGCCTCGTCTCTAAACCCGCGAGGTGCGTGAGACACGCTCGTTATACAAAATGTTGAAATTATTTCGCTTCGGATGCCTCACCCTTTGTCGAGGCACTCGGAAAAAAAAAGTAACATCGTGTACAAGCACATCGACTCGCACGACAGGGTACACAAGATATGCCAGGTATACGAAAACATTCCGAGAGAGTCTCTACGCACCTGCTATTGATCCTTTGTTTTTTCTCTGTCTCGCTCTAAATTATTTTCAAAACTAGGGGAGATATTTCATCGCTCTATTTTTCCTTTTAATTTTTTACGCACCTCTCTTTCATCGTCTTTAATATAATGTAAATTTTAATACAAAAAAGCAAACCTAAAATTAAAAAAATAAAAATAACTACATGTAATAAAACTATATGTAAACAGATCAAAAGTGTAACGTAAACAGAAATAAATTCAAAATTTTTCTAATTTTTTACGGTTTTTTTGTATGAAACTTCTGATACAGAATGCCCCGAATTAATCACGCAATAAATTGAAATGCAGATTATATATTTGAAGAAAACCTTGAGAAAGATAATAAATATATCTAATAATTTAAAATTAAGTAAAACGGCTCAATAAATTAAATAAATTCATTAACATAATAAATAATTATGAATTTTATTTATCTAATTGGATTTAGCTCAGATTGCATTTATGTTGAACATCTTATGATTGGATTTATTTATTATGTTAACGAATTTTATAATTTATAATTTTATATTACAATACTAATTTTCCGTCAACATTGATAATAACCTGATATTATATCGAAACGTTTATTTTATATGATTATTTTCATCTTTATTTTAGGTAAGTCAAATTTATATTAAACGATTTGTTTTAGGCTCGTAGCCCTTCTTTGTTACATTATTTATATTTAATAATCTAATTATAAAAGTTTATAACAATTATTAAAATATCTATAATAGCGCAAATCGAAGTAGCATTTAGCACATAGAGTATAAATGCTTCGAAAGTGTCAAGTATCTCCTCTAATCTTCCGTACTTCTTTATTTACATTCTTAGGAAGTTGTTATGTCTCTCACCTGAGTTTCGCTGCGTATTCGAATTCGATCGCGCAACGATCGCGTATGAAGTGGCCATACCTCTCGAGAAACTCTATCCCTTTTTGTGTGTGCAGGGACAGATTCTCGAATTGGTCCTAAAAGCACAAACAAAGAAAATGATTTTAAAAATTTGACTACTCGCAATACTTATTAAAATATACGCGACTTATTTAGAAAAGAATATTGAATAGTACATATGAATGCAACTTTATATTAATAAAGTATTTTTTAAGTTTTACAATGTTTTAAATACATTTTAATATTCCATGTATATTCATTAATTGACTTGTATAAATATGATAAACATTGAATATGATAAAAATTTGAAATACGATAGGTAAGTCAATAAGTAAGTTTAATTTTGTTCTCAAAAATGGATGTATAGTAACGTTACTTATTGACTTAGTCACTCTTTTAAGACATAAAGATGTATAAAAAAAGAGATCGCAGATTTAAAGACCGTTAACAAAATGAGATTTAGTAGGTATATTCTGTATCACGCTTTTATAGAGAACGATTAAAAAAAAAGACGTAGTCGTTTGAATAAATACGCATACAAAAAAATTCTAATAAGACTTATTCTTAAAAAAAAACTTATCCTTTTTTTTTCTTTTGAATTTCTTGAAACATATCTAAATTGTCGATTTCGCCGCCAAGAGAGTGAAGACTTTTCGCCGTCGAACGAACAATCCGACCGTATCTATCGCGGTCGACGACTGAGAAAAACCTCTTGGCACACATACGCCCCTCGTTTCCTCCTCCTCCTCCACCTCCACCTCTTCCACGGGACAATGAGGAATTTCGCAAGCAACATGCACCGAAAGATTTCTGAACGTCGTTTAGCGGCTCGGCACGAAAAGTGAAACTGGACGTATTAACATTCAGTTATCCGAAGAAAAGTATACAAACAAAAGTTAGTATCCGTAGTCGCAACTTTGACGACATATTAAAATTAGCATCGTACACACTGATCCTCTGTATATTCAAAGGGTAATGACCTTTCACCCTTATGCTTGTAAATCAGACCTGTGTTGCAATTTTCCCACCATCAACTCTTCATCTTTCCACGTCTTATTAATGATTAGATTATAAATTTCATAAATGAAATAAGAAATCACACTAATAACAAACATATTAACTTAAATAAATAGCTCTTTACGTAAAATAATTCTGCAATCGTTTTTTTGTCGTTTTCCTTGATCTCATTGTTGCAGTCTCCAATTACGGGACAGAATTGCATCATGACATTGTGGTTCAATAACACTACAGAATTTTTCTCTTCATTATAAAAAAAAAACACGTTTTGCTTCACGTCTATTAAGCTGGACCCCCCCACCCCCCCAACCCCCCCCCCATCATTGAAAATTAGGTTCAGAATAGGTAAAAAATTTGGTGCTTTTTAGGTGCTAATTTAATACTCTATTCCGAACTTGATTTTTGATGGTGGAGGTCCAGCTTAATAGACGTTTTTGCTTCCACATTCTATGAGAATTTAGAAAGTTGGATAATCGATGAAACATGATACTGGTCGAGATCTCTTCGGTCTCTCACCTACTACTTCGGGAGGAATGCGAGCTTTTATCGTTCAAGGACGATCCTATTTGTCGACATTTATGCCACGGCGCTGACTTAAGGATAAATCAGGTCGCCGTTGCAGTGACAGAGAGAGAGGGGGAGGGGAGAGGGAGAGGGAGAGAGAGAGAGAGAAATGAAAGATCCACGGTCCACACTGCTAGCTGGCATTCGATACGTGTTACTTTCATTTCCATCGAGTAACCATTCAAGGGCCACGCGACTTCTTAAGGCCATACGTGATGCCCGCGTCCTTCTTAGTCTTCTTTTGCGACGTCTCACCTTGCCACGCTACAGTGCAAACAAAAAAAAAGATACAAGATCTCGACTGGAACATTGGAGTCACGTGTGCACGATTTGCGGTCCGGTTAGCCGAACGACGCGGAATGAAAGAAGGAAGTCGCGCAAGATTTTTCTTCAGTCAATCATGAATAACTTAATAAATAAATAAAATTAACTCTCTATATATAAGTGAGACAATAATCTTCAATCTATCCTAACTGCGACCCATAAACACATTAAACATCAGCTCGAGCAATTAAAATCAATCGGAAGAAATTTTAAAGCCTTTTACCATTTTCTTTACTTCTTAAATTTAAAACTCATGAAGAAGCATCAAATTCCTGAGAGTATCTTTGATTCTGTACATTTCGTAGGCTTTAAATCGATGAAGACTTGTTAGATCATGTACGGTGTTAAGGAAGGTAGAGAATTTTGTTTAGACCGCGCAAAATCTGTAATTCCGGTAATATTGACGCTTCTGTGTTATACAAGTTATTATTCGTAGTTATACAAGTTCTGTTCTGTTCATGACGGATACATGTCATGTTTTTTTCTTTACGCAAAATCGTCGCTGTAATACTCGTGGGTGAATAAATCCCTTTGAACCTTTAAGTTCATGTTATCGTTAACATACAGCATTAGCTTATCAAATTTTTACACTCGTATATGGAAAGGAACGATTTTACTGAAATACCTACCTAAACATTTAATTAGATAAACTTAAAGACATAGATGAAAATTTTTGTTTGGATCATCAAAATGATTACACGGAAAGAATGGTTTTGCTGAAGTATTAGAAATTTATATTTTGTTGAAAATAATTTTGTTGAACCATCAAAATAATCATGTAGAACGCTGATTGCTAGAATATCAAAATTTTTTTTGCGACATTGTTCATCGTGCTTGAGATTCTTACATAATTACTTTAATGGTACTACAACAAAATTCGTATAGTGATTATTTAGTTCAAGTATTTACACATTTAGGTTAAATATATGTGAGTCATGTCAACAAAATCTAATTTCAAACATGTTATTTGAATTAATAAATATTTGCTTTACAGCCTGTGACCGCATTTAGTTAAATCAACTAAATATTTTTTTTTAATCAGTAACTTCTTTTTCTCAGTGTAGTCTGAAAATAAAACGAGCGCGCATTGAAGAATAAAAATGGAGCAAGCAAGATTTAGACGATTCCACGGTCGCTATCGCGGACCAAGTGTTAAACTGTAAATTTAATTTGCGATTTTCACAGCGATTTTCTTCCATTCGTTCAAGGTTTACGACTTGCGCGCGGTGAACTCCGAGTCGCAATCGCGCACGGACGAAGTCATTCGTGCGTCTCTACGTCTCGGATCGGAACAACTTTCTCATTGTGATAACTGTATAACGCAGCTCGTAGCTCGGCAAGTAATTTGCAATGAAATAACGGAGAACTGGTAGCGCAGGTGATAGTTGCGTATATATACCGCGGCTTTCGAACACACGTGGAACGGCGTGCGTGGAACGACAGCGGCGACGGGCAATCACCGATCCGGTCGTTCTTTTCTATTCTCGAGATACGCGTCAGGTATCTCAACGTTTGATTATTAGATTCCGTTTTTCCTTCATACCGGATATCGCGAATGCCGATAACGTTGATTGCGAGGCACGATCGCGTATCGCATATTTGAGGTAATGCAAACTTGGGTCTATTCAGCTTACTTGTACACAGCCTGAATCACACTAGAAACAGAACGTTTTCCTATAATGTTCACAGATATGGAAAAAAACCGAAAAACACAATTTTTCTCGATGGTTCTAAACGTTATTTAATAAAACGCTTTAACATTTATATAAATTAAATAAAAATAATTTTCATTTCTCAAAGATTTCTCTCTGTTTTAGATTATTGAATTCAAGATTCAAGTTTCGAAACGATATTATGATATATTGAATTTATCTTGATGTTTATGCAATATACAAAACACGAACGACGTATTCATATATTAAGTATGTATATAATATTTTATTTCAAAAAACATTAATGAACTCAATAATTCAGAGAAAATTAATTTCGAAAAAATTGTTGATTACGGTTGTCTTTAGAAGTTCTTAAGATAAAAATATCGATTAGGGGACCAAGCTCCAATGACCTTGACCTTGACATATATTATCAAGGTCATGACACTGAGTGATCTACAACAAGTTTTAGCCATCGCTCGTCCTTTGTTAAAAAGTTATTAACAAAAAAGTTTGAAAAAATAATGTCTTATTTCGGCTTTGTAAATTTGGCACCCGACTTGCAGCAATATTTTTTTGTTTTTTTTTTCTAAAATTAGTAATCTAGAATAGTTTCTGATATTATATATAGCCGAAATAAGATGTTATTTTTTTCAAAATTTTTTTATTAATAATTTTTGAACGAAAGACGAGCGACGGCTAAAACTTGTTGGAGGTCACTCAGGGTCATGAACTTGATAATATATGTTAAGATTGGTCATTGAAGCTTGGTCTCTTAATCGATATTTTCACCGATCCCTTAAATATTTGTACGATTAAAAAGTAAAAAGATTATTTTGAACCGCCTTCAGCATTGAAATTTGAGATCATCGGTATTATAACAATTTCAACCCTTGGTATAAAAAGAATCCATGTTTAGATAGTATCAACCAAGTGTATCAACAACGCTTGTAATTCATTGGATGACGTCACCGTTTCTGTACTGAATCGAACATGCGGTTTAATGGCGAAATTAAATTATATTCCATTATGCCGAATCGATTCCTCCCCCGCAGGGGTGAGTGCTAACCAATCCTGCGTTTCGTCCATGTAGCAGGTCGATACACGGGAAACGCATTGACAAGCTATGACTCATCGCGGTGTAAGCTTGTCCAAAAAAGTGCGCTGGCAGAAAACCAAATGATCGACTGGACAATGACAGAATCAAGTTATCGCAATGACGATAAAAAACTTTTTAACATTTTTTCGATTTTAGTACAAGGACCACTGCACTACCTCCTAATTTTGCATCTACTTTAATCCTATAAAAGGATTTTTTATTTCGTTCAGTCAATTCGAAGATTTTTATACGACTGTAATGTGATAATTTGGTACTCCAGCATCCTCTTAAGTCAAGATGGCTTGACTGAAATTGTAGGAATTGTAGAGGCAGGTATGATGGAACAGAGAACATTTTTTTATGAAAACGATCAATAAGAAAAGCGTGCTCTCCGGAGCAAATAAAAAAGTATATTACAAAA